TGTTTGTTTGTTTGTTTGTTTTCCTTGAAAAGCTAGATGCGAGATCTAGATGTGAGATTAGGGTGCACAGAGTAAGAATTTTTGGGAAGACTCTTCGAGGAAGAGTGCAAGAGTGCCCACTCCTGCACGTCCTACTTGTTTTCTAAAGCAGAGCATAGGCAGCTAACAATGGCAACAAAAAAGTCGCCACTGATCTACACAGGTTGTATATTCTAGTCATGATGTTGTGCTGGTGTTTATAGTGTTTTCTTCTGTCTTCCAATCGAGGCCTTTTTTATGAAGAACAAAAAAATCTGTTTTGTAAGAAAGGTTGAGGGGACTTAACGTTTTAAATACTGATAGTTTTAGATACTAGTATTTGTCCTTCTAGTGGGCTAGAAAAGCTCCTCTGAATCATACTCTACTATTTTTATTTTTCCTTAATAGGTAGAAAGAAGTAGTACAATGTCTTTCTCTGATCTGAAATTCTCTTCTGTATTTTGCAGGATTCATATAGAAAGCAGGTTGTCATAGATGGAGAGACGTGCTTGTTAGACATTCTGGACACTGCAGGACAAGAGGAGTACAGTGCCATGCGTGATCAGTACATGAGAACAGGGGAAGGATTCCTCTGTGTTTTTGCCATTAACAACAGTAAATCGTTTGCTGATATTAACCTTTACAGGTATGATCTGGGTCTATTTACAGGGAGGGAAGGCTGGGAAAGTGTTATTAGAGTTAGGGATAGAGTAGGCTGTAGGTTACAACCCCCAGGGTCCTGTCCAGCTTTAATATATATTTTTATAGCACAGGGTGGTTTGAAGACTGAACTAACACAACTTTTATATTTAGAAAATTGTTCTTAATGTTTTTTATTAATTTGCCTTTCTAAAGAGAACAGATCAAGAGAGTGAAAGATTCAGATGATGTGCCAATGGTGCTAGTTGGGAATAAGTGTGATTTGCCCACAAGAACAGTAGACACAAAGCAGGCTCAAGAATTAGCAAAAAGCTATGGAATCCCCTTCATAGAGACATCTGCTAAAACAAGACAGGTAAGGTGCTTCTATTCGTGCTCTGACTTTTACCTGTATGTAAAACGTAGACTGGTCTAATATTCTCCCATATACTTTTTTCTTATCTGCAGGAGTAATAATTTTTTAATCCGTTCGCAGTCTTTAGCTTTTGATTTCCTTACTCACTGTGAGCTTGAAAACGTTCTGTTTTTATCATGGGGCTAGGCTGGTACGTACAGCGCTTCAGACTTGTGCTTTGAAGTGGGTCGTGTTTGTGAGGAGACGGGAGCTTTATCTGCTCTTGCTGAGAAGTGGCCAGACTGCGGTTAGTCATCCCGGACCTGTTTGGTTTTCTTAGCTTCTTAATGAAGGCTGAATATAAGATTATATTTACTAAAATAATTCCCCAGACTGGACTAATACAAGAGTTGCATTGAGTGTGTGGCTCTGTCCAGTCAGACTGTGTTCTACTTACATCAGTGTAGAACCAAGCAGAAAAGTTGTGATTATTAAGCAGTAGCTAGAAAATTCTAAGAATCCTAAACTGAAGGCAATTGGTCAAGAATTAGCTTGTTTCCTACAGGGGACCTCTCAAGTGACAATTTGCCTTGTTTCTTTTAATGGCTCTTAGCCTGGATGTTTGTCTCAGAGGGAGAGTTAAGAGTGTAAGTAGAGTGTTTTGGTCGTAAGCACGAGTTTCTTTCTCTTATACGCTATGGGATAAGTTGGCTGCTACTCTTTATGTAGAAGTATGTATTTCAAATATGTTAAGGCATTCTCTGGTGGAAAGAACAATTCTCTCAAAAGCTTCAGGAAAGAAAATGCTTTACCTGGATCATTTGCATTCAGGGTGTGGAAGATGCTTTTTACACGCTGGTGAGAGAGATCCGGCAGTACCGGATGAAAAAGCTCAACAGCAATGAAGATGGAAATCAAGGCTGTATGGGATTGTCTTGCGTTGTGATGTGAGAAGGTGAGCTGTAATTTTAAGTTTTTCATTGACTTCTTTTCTATCTGTCTTTCAGTTATGGATAAGCCTGGCTTAGATATACTAGTTGCTATAGGTGGGTGTATTCTCCCTGTTATGCACCCCATTGATACCTAGAGATTTAGAACCTACAGTTAATAAAGTCTCCAATTTTATTTTTTTTTTTTTTCTCCTCTAAGTAGGTAGCAAAGCTTAAGAAAAGGAAGTTAGGAAGTTCTATTCACAGGAACCTTCTGGCTATAGCCTGTGGAGTTCCACCTAACTGATAACTGTGTGATGAGATTCCCCCCCACTGCATATCATAGGTACCAGTGTTTCCTTCCTTTGGGAAACCACTTTGACTATTTGGAGAATGTGCAATTTCTTTTTGTGCACAAGAAATACCTGAACTAGAAAGGGGGGTGTACACAAATCTGCAGTTGCCATTTGGTGATGGTTGATTGCCTTCTCTGCAGCTTATCTTGAACTGTGTTTCTCTGGAATATGCACTGTTCGAAGATTAATTAAATAAAATAATGCAAGTAATGAAACTTATGAGTTCCCCAACTAAGTGAAATTATTTTCAACAGTTACTTAAAAGATGTTGCTCATCACAGTAAAAACAGGTAGACCAGTTCAGGACTCGTACTGCGCTGTTGCATGCACGTTCAGCACGCTGGGCGGCAGCTAATGAGACATGCCTTTCTGTTCCAGATGCCAAGGATACCAGGTTCAGATGTAGCTGCTGGACGGGTCTCGATGCTACTGTATTGTGTCTCATGCTGATGCCCTGCAGTATTTTGGTGCCAGTGACCAGAATCTTGGTACCAGTTAATTAGCACAAGGTCCTTTTCTGTGCTCCACCTGAAGAGAACATCTATGGCGTCTACCTCCTTGCTCAGCTAATGGAGCAGTTGCATCTCTTGATGTACTGGGATTCTTTTCTCACTGTTATCTGGGTTTGTTCAAGAAGAAAACCAGTCACAAGAAAAGTGAACTATAGAGACTAAATGCTGTGAAAAGTGACACTTTACCTCTAGAGTAAAAGCTAGAAGTGGTGTTTGTTCCCTTTCTGTTGGATTCTGAGTTGTGGTGCTGTCAGGAGTGGCACTAATCATTGCTTGGCAGGTAATATCAGAAATGGTTTTACCACCATCTGCTCTCTGTGCACCCATACACCATATATGCAACATCTTCTATGTGCCAGGAGTACCACTTAACTGATCCTTCATTTTCTGTAATAAAAAGGAGATAACTTTCCTAACTTAAGTGCCTGTTTGCTAAGAAGATGTGAAGTTGTCCCTTGTTCCCTTGGCTTGAGGAAAGCCACAAGGACTGGAATTTCTTGGGAGCTCATTGTCTTAAGTAGGCAGGTCTTGTGTGGGTAGTCTGTTTGCTTGACAGGATACTAAAACAGGAATTTGTAGGCTGGAAGATCCAGCAGGCACTTGTAAGAGACTAGAACTAGGGAGGGAGATATACTGCATCTGTTTTTTACTTTCTCTGTAGGTGGAACTATTTATATTCTATATTGTTTTTCTGCAGCATTCAGATCTCTTCCAAGTTGGACCAAATTAGTCAGCTGTTCATTTTTAACATTAACTGCCAACATTTGAGGATGGCATCTCAGTAGTTAATCTTGTAGCTGGAGGTTAGTTAGTCTGGACAGCTGTTCCTTGGCTCTGTCTGTAATTTGCAAATTATTTCATTCTGAATTTTCTTACTGCCAAACTGTCAACATAGTCTCTTCAAAACATGTTTCTGTAAAATGTAGTTGGAGATTCCTATTGTCAAGAAAGGAGTGTGGGGTTTCAGGTTGACTGTGTTTGGTATGGTGGTTGTCATGGACTTAGCATGTCCAGACTGAGGGGAGACAGCAATGAGCTGTAACAGAAAACTGAGCTAGTTTCTGATGGCAGCATCCTTGCAAAATGAAGAAGGAAGCAAGTTCGGTGTTGACTACACAGAAAGTGTATGATATGCTGATGGGAATTCTGGGCTTCTTCCAACAGCCTCAACGTACGAGAGAATTGCTGCATAAGTTGTGTGAGTTCTTCCTCATTGTCATCTTGTATATTTGGGGTATACAAGTGTGGTCACTGTTGCAAAATGTACTAGTGTTCCCTGGAATACCATGTCCTTCCCTAGTTCTTGTGCTGATGATACTGAATTCTGTTCTGTGTGGTCAGACAGTGTATCCCACAGCCAAGCTGAGTTCCCAGTTATGATCTGATGGAACAGCAGTGAGCCTTCAGCCAACAGGGGGAGTGTTCAGTCAGTCTGCTGAAGCAAGGGGCTTAATTTCAATTTGTTGATGTCAGATTCATAGATCTTAATTTGAAGTTCTCCATTTCAAATAGAAATTAGAAACCAGGAAATTCTTCAGAGGAGAAATTGTTCTTTTTAAAATTGCTTCCTTCACTACTTAATTCTTCGTTCTCTTTTTGGAATGAAGAGGATCAATCTGCATCACATTTTCTTTATCTGTGATAATCCTTATAAGTACTTTCTGCAATTTATTTTGCCCTTGACTGATGTGACACTGATAAGAATGAAAACTGCAACTGTTTTACATAAATCATTATTTCCCATCACCATACACAGTGGTGGGCAGCATTATGGATAGCTATAGAGAGGTTTTTTTTTTTCCTGGCAAGCAGGACTGCAGAGATCAGAACATGGCTGCCTATGGCCATGGGAAACCTTTTGAGGCTGGCATTTGATGTTTGAAGGTTGTGTGGTCAAGTATGGAAAATTACTACTTTTGGATGAGGTTCATTATAGTAATTCTCTACATAGATGGCATGTTCTAGCTGTCATTAGAAATGCACTAGCTATGAGTCCAAAAGTTGTGAATTCTTAGAATTGTATGAGAACTGGCAAGTGTGTCTACTGTCTCTTCAGTGTTCCCGTTGTCTATAATAATCTTAAAAGGGAAGACCACCTGGTAAGGATAGGTTAGTATGTATGTCACCTTTGGAACATTAGAGGGGGGTGCACCAGCTGTTAGGGTGCTGCAGAACTGACCTGCACAGGGGGTACTTCCATCTGCATTATTTTAGTTTCAAATCCAGCAAGCGATACAAAATCAGAGTGTTGTGCTGGTCACAAGTATGAAGTAACGACTGTACTTTGTTTCCAGCTAAGAGAACACTGATTTTGGTAGCAACTGAGAAGTCCAAAACTCCAAGAACTTTTCTGAAAATTATTTAGAAAATAAGCACGGCAGTTTTTGCACAAGACACATCCCTGGAAAAAGTGGGTTTGTACATTTAGTCCAAATGTTATTTAAAACTAACAGGATGACACTGTTAGTGCCAAACTAACTTTACTAGTCTATTTTACTGACTGGAAAGAACAGGGATAAACAACTTTGAGGTAAAATAGAAAAAAAGTAAAGCTCTTGTTCAAAAACTGGAATTGCCAATAATTGAAAAAATTTGTTACTACGGACTGAGAGCAGCATCTAACGAGACAGTCTAACTCTGTGGCTTGTTAGTGTCCCCACTCCACGATCTTGTTCAAACAACAGTGCTCAAATTTTATTGTTGTCACCAGTAGGACTTGAGATGGCAACCACGGTGCTTAAGCCATCATAACTTTCAGTACAGTTCAGTGGCTTAGAATTGGATTTCAAGCAGCTTCAGGCCTGTGGGGGAAAGGAGGGTGGTGGAAATTTGAATTACATTGTGATCCTATATGTGGTTCTCCTTTACTCCACAAGTCTTAAGTGACTGTATAACCTCCAGTATTGTAGGGAACTGTTGGGATCTGGACTTTTTATCCAATGGCTAATTTGTTGTTACTTTGTATAATTATTTGCTTTCAATAATGCACCTCTTCTGGTTTCAATTGAAGTAAATTATTTTGCTTCTTAAATAACTTTTTTAAAGAATAAACTTCCAATTCTTTCATTGTTTCTTTTGTGGTAACGACCTGGACATGGAATCCACGACTGCCTTACAGAAAGCTTATCACAATGCTATCTGCTTTCTCTGTGGGATCCAGATTTATTCAGCTTCTCACGTCTGTAATGTGGCATGAGCAGCTGTATCGCCTATGTCCACTATAGCATGAAGTAGTGAGAGTGGCTTTGAGATGTACTATAGGGTTGTTCTAGAATCCAGTTTTAAATGACCTCACCAATCTGTGCTGCGTCACGCATCTTGAATTACTGTTGAGTTTCTGTATTTGCTGTGGGTCCCTCGCAATATTTTTACTGACTTGGCCCTTGGAAAGTGTACTTGCTGAGCCAAAAAAAATAACGGAAGGGGAGATTTTTTTACTTGATATTCCAGGAGTGAAATCGGCTATTAAGTTATTGCTATGTCCAAATGGGGCTTTGTGTTAGGCTTTTAAGTTGCTTAATTCAGTCTTCTAAAATATTTCTCAGTTGGCTTTCCTCCTGCAATGAGGCAAATTCTGCTGGACCACAGCGTAAGTGTGCCTTAAGTATGCTTCTCCTCAGACATTTGTCAGGCCTCTGGAACCCAGAGTCCAATTTAGTTTCCATGCAAGGAGCATAAGAATATACTCAGTAGCAGGGGTATAAAACTCATTGCACTTTGTAACTGCTGCCAGTTTTGAAAGGAGAGATCCAGAATATGAGTACAGATGGCTGTTTAAAAGCAGGGCTTTTCTTGGCTTATTAGGAATGCTTTCTTCCCATATGATTGTTACCTCTAACAGTCCATTCCTAGAAACTAATTCACACCTGAAGGACTTGCTGACTTTTGTTGCTTACTGAAACAGAGGCTGATAAAAAGAGCCCTAGAAAAATCTGTGTAAGGAATGACTAAGAGCAATGTGGGGAGAGAAGAACTTGCTGAGCTGATTCTTTGTGTGAGGTGCTATGGGTCAAAGGCATAGCACATCAAGGAGTGCCCTTGTGAGTTTCTACATGACCCCCTTTGTGTTAATACTTTTCTTCTTCAGGAACTGAAAACATTTTCTAACAAAACTAGTCCCTAGGCTTCTGTTTGGACCGCTACCTCTGTGATACGGTTGCTCTGCTAGGCAAACTAGAGGAAGATCCTGCTAATTACCCCAGGCTGCTAAATTTCTGGCATGTTTGGTCATTTTCCTTTGACTAAACCTAGGTGGAATGAAGGCAGCTCAAAGTATGGGGTTTTAAGGCCACTCTAAAGTGTCTGGGTGTAAAGCACTTGCTTTCTAATTAAAAAAGTGTGGGAAGACAGCTTGTTTGTATTCAGTACTTCAGTTTAAAGAGGCTTTAAAGATCTAACTTTAGCACAGCATACCCAAGCTTTACTCATATTTCTACCATGAACCCAACTAATTTGACCCTGTGATTTAAAAAGCTAAGGGATCAAGCGACCTCTTTAGGAAGATGACCTCTGCTCTCTAAAGGTTATTTTTGGTTTCGGATGTGGATCCCAAGATCTTGATGTATCCAGAAAGGTTAGGGGGAGACAGTCCCTGTGGGAGAGCAAACAAGCAGAGGCCAGTTTTTACTGACCTCAGATGAAATAGTTAAACAATAAGGTGGTGAGGAGACTCGCAAATGCGGGAATGAGTAAGAACAAGAATAATTCAGAAACTGAAGACTGGTGTCAGCAGGAGAGAGGAGACCACGCATTAGAGATGAAGACTGTAACAGCATCCCAGCTTTGCCCTATTGGCTGCACCTCTGCATGTTGGGGGGCAAAATCAATTTATATTCTTGGGGAATATCTGGGAAGTGAGGCTAAAATTCCCTAAACTCTGGAGGTTTTCTGAACTGTAATCCAGCATATTTTTAAGTTCTGCACATCAACCCTAACCCTAATGACCTTTCAGAGAGTTTCTGCATACTCTGGAAATTACCTTGGCTGAAGAAACTGTGTCAGGTCTCAGCTCATTTGACCTCACTGACTAGTGCCACAAGCTTTCTGTGCATCTGTGGACAAAAATCTATGACTTGTTATTTCTAGGTCTGTATCTTATGCAAATAACTCTCATTCTTCCTGCCTTCTTTTTGGACAAGGCTTTTCCATAATTGTTCCTACAAAACAGCACAGGAAGCCCTTACGTGCATGTATAATCCCAAACAATGTTGTCTTTTCCAGGGGTGCTAGTTTTTCTGTTCCCTTCAATGTTATGACCAAAGTCATCTTCTAAATCAGCAGCGAGACTGTTCTGAATACAGCCTGAATGCTTTGCTTGATTTCAGTG